AGATAGATAGATAGATAGATAGATAGATAGATAGATAGATAGATAGATAGATAGATAGATAGATAGATAGATAGATAGATAGATAGGTTAATGAACAGAATAAAGGAGAGAGCGAGGCGTAAACGATGAGATTTTATCCGAAGAGGTGATATTCAGCTTCAACAAACATCTGCGCAAGCTCTCTCTATTAAGCTCAAGTGAAACCCAGCCCCACTGGCGTATTATATCAAGGATAAACCTTTACACTTGATATTCACACAAATGTAATTTGTCTGGAACTCTTTGTAACGTGTGAAAAATGCTCAAGGGTAAAAAATTAAATGACACATTATACAATCTTTGCATAACCGCACCGTGAACTGGACTCTTGAGATGAGAAGCAACGGTAAATGCCACAGTCAGATGGAGGAGTGGGCATATTTTATTATTATAATCATCATCATCCTCATCATCATCACGGTAGTCTGGAAAACTTTAAAAAAAGACCCCCCCCCCCAAAAAAAAAGACCGGTGGAGACTGTAGAATTTCAAAAATGTTCTACGTTCATAGTTTCGCCGTTTGTGTTTGAGTCTGGTCTCGTTGTCAAGGATCTGAGAGTCTTTCACGGGCGTTCGGGTGTCTCTTAATGTTATCCTGAACTGAAATAATAATAATAATAATAATAAATAACATTTGTATAGCTCATGTTCCCACTGGAAAGCAAGCTCTATGCGCTTTACACTAAAATATTACCCCAGTAGACCATAGAACGCTCAGAACCATTTTCAGCTTCCCGGGAAGCATACAATGCAAGCAGCCTGTTAAGCATTCAAACACTGACAAACTGACAAGATCTTTCACTGTCTATAGCTGGGTACCCACTCCAACCTAGGTGAAGTGAGGGAATACTCGTGTAAAGTGTCTTTCCCAAGGACGCAACGTCGGGCCGGCGGCTCGAACCCCCGAACCCGCAACCTCACGATTGTGAGTCCAGTAGCTTAACCACAAGGCCACCGACGCCACAAACCACAAAGTTAATGTATCCATGCTTGGCCTAACTTCTTTTCAAACGTAACTCGATTACATTCTCTGTTCACCCATCCCCCTCCTTTCTACTCCCTCTTTCTGCTCCTCTCCCCTTATCTTTCTCTCCTTTTTTTCTCCCCCTCTCCCACTCTCTCCTTTCTTTCTCTCTCTCACTACTTCTCTCTCTGTCTCTCTCTCTCTCTGTCTCTCTCTCTCTGTCTCTCTCTCTCTCTTTA